TATTCCAGAGGGGAGGTGCAGCCATGCTCCCATTTTCCAGGTAAAAGCTATTTGCATAAGGCTTCCCTGTTTAAAATGCGATCAAGTGCACTCTTGTGCGCATAACAAGGGCACCTACCTTCTGATCTGGTGGGAATCACTCAGGAAATGTGAATTTGTCTCTACCCTTAAAAATAGTGAGCCAAAGTTGGTCTATTTTAACCCTGCTAATTCTTCCAAAAGACACTCGGAATGCAAGATTTGGGAAAGCTGGTAGCTTGAACAAACTGAGCAAGGTGGCGTCTCTAATAAAACCTGCCTGACTAGGTAGCTCAGTGGCTAAGACAGTGAGCTTGTCGATCAGAAAGGTCAGCAGTTTGGCGGTTCGATTCCCTAGTATAGGTCTCCTGCGTGAGCAGGGGGTTGGACTAGATGACCTCCAAGGTCCCTTCCAACTTTGTTACTCTTAAAACCTCAGGCCAAAGTAAATGGGCTGTTTTGGTGTTAATCTCATGAGGTATCCATCAGCTCTCTCCTTCACCCAAAGTCCTGGTTAGAAATGTATCTGGAAAGAAGGGATAGGAAACCTGGTCTTGGCTGGTGAACTTGGGGACGTCTGTTGTTTGCAGGAGACAAGATTGAACTTACAGTCCCTGTCTTGGACGGTCCCTGTCCTTGTCTTTGGGAAGTTAAACAGAAGCTAGACAGAAAGGAATCAAAATATAATTTAGGACTTTGTAGCTCACCTCCTCTAGGCTTTGGGGAATCTCCAAAGTTCAAAATGATGCAAAGGGAAATATAAGGGAAGATGATTCCCCAATGTAAAAATATGGCTATTTTCAGTTGTTTAAAATATTGAATGTTGCCAAACAAGTTTTAATTCAGATGCTATAATTAAGACATAGCAGGAGACATCCGAGCAGAGTCAGGGCTAAAGAGATAGGAAAAGACATTGCAAAATTATGCAAACTGTGTTTGGGTCCTGTAAAAACCAGAGAACCGAAATGCCTAGTTGCCAGGAAAAGGTCTCTGATTTCAATGGGGGACAAGGATGATTGAAGGTGATGAACGCAGAACTGGGAAATAAGAAGTGCCCAATTTTGATGTCCTTCATTATTGTCAGGATTCTCTCAATGAAGAAAAACAATCGAGGCTATTGCACCTGAAGGTAAAGTCTGCCTACTACGGAAACCATTTTAGAACTGTGGGAATAAAAAGTTGCACAAATATAACCTCTGTTCTTTCCAGAATAAAATATTGGTGGTCTGCTTGCTTCTCCAATATCTGATTGAAAGCCCATTGAGAAGTTGATTGTCCAAACGGGGAGGAGGGGGTGATGAATAGGAAAGGACTTTAAGAAACAAGCCACTGATTGGAGAAGGTAAATCCCAGGAGAAAAAAAGACTGGATAAAGATTGACTAGTGATTGGGAAAGTATGTGCCCAACATTCTCCAAAAAAAACATTGTCACATTCACAACAGGCCACTGACCACACTTACAAGAGAATGGGTGGGAAAGTGTTAAGAGATTTTCACGTACCTTGAAGCAGTGAACGGACATTGTTGGATTGAAGAGGAGATGTACTACGACTGGTAGGAGAAGCATGCCACAAGTCCCATCTGTGAGTTTCATCTGGCAGGACCTGGGAAAAGAGATTTTCCTACCCCTTGGAATATATTATCTCACTGGAACATAGATTGGCTCCAATCTGGTCTTTCTGAAGGTCATGAAGAATATGGCTCTGCCATCATGCTTGGCGGTCCAGGAATGGTGAGGAGATTTTACAATAATTGTGTTGAGTTGATGTTGAGCTAGTTTGGACTAGTGTGGGAGTGGAAAACTATGGCTAAGAAGTCTGGGAGTTGAAGTCCACAGGTCATAAAGTTGCCCTAGTTGCCCACACCTAGTCTAGTGGTTAAAGTACCAGGCTAGAAATTGGAAGACTGTGAGTTCTATTCCCACCTTAAGCATGAAGGCAACTGGGTGACTTTGAGTCAATCCCCTCACAGGGTTGTTGTGGACAAAATAGGAGGAGGAAGGAGTATTACGTATGTTCACTGCCTTCAGTTATTTATAAAGTAATAAAGGTGGAACAGATAGCTAATAAATGAACTAAAATGTAAGGCTGGATTGTGCTGTTCCATCACTGTTATTTTTGTTTTAAAGATTAGGTATGTTTGTGTGTTGATATAACAGGCTGTGACAATAACCTTGAGAGACAGGAAGAAGAGCCCCAGCCCAGACAACAGACCAATCAATGAAATCTGAGCTCAAGCCAGAAACGTCATTTTGAGAAAGCATCTCAGAATCAACCAGAGTTGAGTTGCATAGATGAGATGAGCACAGTGGTGAAATCCAATTTTTTTTACTACTGGTTCTGTGGACATGGCTTGGGCATGGTGTGGCTTGGTGGGCATGGCAGGGAAAAGATACTGCAAAATCTCCATTTCCAGCCCACTCCAGGGGAAGGATACTGCAAAATCCCCATTCCCTTCCCACTCCTGGGGGAAGGATATTGCAAAATCTCCATTCCCATCCCACTCAGGGGCCAGCCAGAGGTGGTATTTGCCGGTTCTCTGAGCTACTCAAAATTTCCGCTACTGGTTCTCCGAACTGCTCAAAATTTCTGCTACCGGTTCTCTGGAACCTGTCAGAACCTGCTGGATTTCACCTCTGGATGAACAGCCATACAAATTGAATAAATAAATTAACAAAATGAGAATACAGGTAGCCCTCAATATACGACCGCAATTGAGCCCAAAATTTCTATTGTTAAGTGGGAACATTTGTTGAGTGAGTTTTGCTCCATTTAATAGGACCTTTCTTGCACTAAGTTCAGAATCACTGCACTCCTTAAATTAGTAACACAGTTGCTAAGTGAACCTGGCTTCCATTGATTTTGCTTGTCAAAAGGTTGCAAAAGGTGAACCAGGGGTGAAATCCAGCAGGTTCTGGAGAACTGGTAGTGGAAATTTTGAGTTCAGAGAACTGGCAAATACTACCTCTGGCTGGCCCCAGAGTGGGGTGGGAATGGAGATTTTGCAGTATCCTTCCCCTGCCACGCCCACCAAGCCACACCACACCACGCCCACCAAGCCACGCCCACAGAACCATTAGTAAAAAAAATTGGATTTCACCACTGAGGTGAACACATGACTCTGCAACCATCTTAAATATGAGTAGTTGCCTAGCATCTCAATTTTGATCCCATGACCATGGGGATACTATAATAGTTGTAAATATAAAAAACGGTCTTAAGTCACTTCTTTTCAGTAATGTTGTAACTTCAAACGATCACTAAACTAACTGTTGTAAGCCGAGAGTTACGTGTATAAGGCTGCACTCAACAGGCCTGAAAAATGAGGCTAACTAACATAGCACAACATAACAACATGTGTAAAGGTGGGCAACCTCAGTTATAAGGGCATCATGGTTCCCTAGCAAACTGCATATATCTAGCAGGTGAAAAAAAAATCATTGGCAATGGTTCCCTATGGCATCTTGAATAAGTATCATTGGTTGTTCAATGGGCCAATCAGCATTCTGTGTCCATTTGTGGAGCTCAAAGCCAAAATATGGCAGCTTATAACAATTCCTCTGAACAATAAAGCTGAGGTTTTGGAAGGGCAGGCTTCAGTGCTAAGAATCCAGGTTTATTTATGGTTATCTTGTGATTTACGGTTTTTAATTTTCATTGAGATTGTTATTGAGGATGCTTATCTTGTCTGCTTTTAATCCAGGTTATGGATTTGAAAAGCTGTACCCTGTTCAATTGGTTTGACTGGAATAGCTCACAAATTCTGCGTAGAACTCTATATCCTCTGAATTGTTTACAGAGGGATGCTGCCAATTTCTTTTGGTTTAGAAAGCCACATTTCTTGTTTGGTACAAATCTGGCAGACAAAGCAAAAGTCATCCATGTTTGAAATTAAACATATAGCTGTAAAAAACAAAACCCAGAATTTTCCTTTAATGAAGTCAATTTTAATAAATGTGTTAACTTTGCAAGATGCAGGAAGAGTATTGTTTTTGCCCCATGTTGTTTATCCCGAATCTGTGCTAGTTTGACTGCAGGGGAAACTTACAAGTCACACAATAATAAGAATTGTTATTATTCTTTTAAGAGATTGGACAGCCATTTGTTCAGAATGGTATAGGACAGTGATGGCTAACCTTTTTGCCATCACGTGCCAAAAGCAGGGGTTGCGCTGGGAGGTCGCACATGTATGTGCCCACACCCATAATTCAATGCGCCCCCCGTGAATGCACCCGCGACCCCGTGCTCTCCCCGCTTTTGGCACATGATGGCACTGTGGTCCTAGTAGGCCCATTTTTCGCCCTCCCCAGGCTCCAGAGCCTTTCTTGGAACTTGGGGAGGGTGAAAATGGCCTTCTCCACCCCCGGAGCCCCTCTGGTGGCTGGAAACGGCACATTTCCCGACTTCTGGTGGGCCTGGAAGGCCCAAAAATCAGCTGGCCGGTGCGCATATGCGCGCTGGAGCTGAGCTCGGGCAATGCTTGTGTGCCCACAGATATGGCTCCGCGTGCCATCTGTGGCACGCGTGCCATAGGTTCACCATCACGGGTATAGGATCTCCTGCTTGAGCAGGGGGGTTGGGCTAGAAGACCTCCAAGATCCCTTCCAGCTCTGTTATTCTGTAATTCCTTAAATGCAAAATTGATTCCTGTCTATGTACTCTGTTGAAAATTAGCTTCCCGTCATGGAATGCGTTTGAGGGTCGTTTCTTCCAGGGCTCACTAGAGGGCGCCAATGCTTCATTTAGCCTAAGACATTGCCCTAATTTTTCCAAGCTGTCCCTCTTCCTTCAGTTCTCCCGCTGAAACAGAAGTAATTGTAGACTCATCAATAATGGAAGGAAGCAGCTTTGTCGTTATCTTGCCCTTTCATTGCAAGAACGTTATGGCATTTCTGACTTGCTACAAGGCACAATCAGACATTCCCCCCCCACACCTCCCACCCGCTTAGCGCCTCACTAAATTGACACCACAGCCATAGAACATTGCTATTTTAAAATGTTTATTTATCTCGTTGATTAAAGTTTTGGATGTCTGAGTGGGAAGAGTGAAAGGAGGTATTTACAAGGGGGGGTGGGGGTGGAAATGCTTGGACCTGTCCAGGGGAAAAAGTGCCCACACGTCCCAGTTTGCGGAGGATTGTCTTCTATTTAAAGCATCCTCTGCTGGAAGAATTGTCCAGACTGAGCCGGATGGAAGAGAAAAGAGAAAACCAGAAGAAGGAAATGCAGAGCGAGACCCTTGAAGGTGACCGTCAGCCATTAGTATTTGCACATCTTATTCGAAGCAGGGCCTTGTGATGAATTCCGTTTCCGAAATCACCCCTCTGGGAATGTCATTGCTGCTCGTCATTGTTGCTTCCATCCAAAAGGCATATTCTATGTGTTCATTCCACATGCTGCCAATGCTGTAAAAGGAGGGAGTTGGACTACGTAACCAAGAGAGTATGACAAGGACGTAACTCTCTTCCCAATGACCACAGAAACCCTGGAAGGCAGCTTGTCTCACCCATCTTCCTTTGACTCCCTAACAGGTAGTCCTCGACTTATGACTTGTGATTGAACCTGGGATTACAGTTGTAAGGTATGCTGGTCATTAAGTAGGTCATCATGTGATGTGACCAATATTATTTATTTATTTACAATGGGTTATTAAGTAAACAGGGTTGTGAAAACACATTGTCCACCGTGGAAGTTTTTTTTTGCTGGAAACTGGAAGAAAATGCCAGTTTCCAGCAAAAGTTCATAAAATATTGATAATACTGCAAGTGGCAATAAATGCGATCTGGTTGCCGAGCATCAAAAATGCAATCACATAACTGCAGCCGTTGGAAATTCGTATCTGGCTCATAAGTACCTTTTGGGGGGGGGTCCATTGTAACTTTTAACATTTGCTGACCAACCGGTCGTAAATCAAGGACTACCGGTTCATCTGAGCAAAATGATGTCCCCCTATTCCTGTTCCACCAGTTCTGTCTCTTTACCCATTTCCTAATCAAATGAAATTCTACTTCCTTCCTTGCCAAGCCCTAAGAATCTTTTGGCTTGCAGTGTCTACCTTCCCTAAATGACGAATACCTGAGACCGAGAAGCTTCTCTTTCATTCATCTCATTTGATGAAAATAGGGGCAACAGGATGCAGTGGAAAGCATTCTGTGCCACCTACAACATAGATGGGTCCTTAGGGGAGAGAACAACTTTAAAACTGGCACTCCTGGTTTCTGTTTCAACAAGCAGGGTTAGCATAAACATCTAAATTCTATGCCAAGGTCTTAGCAGATACACCAAGTTGACTCAATTTATTATTTACTGTTTCTAAAAAAAATAAAATAAAAATATTATATGTATATGAAATCTTAATCTGTTCACTGCTCTGAGTCCTTCGGGAGAAGGGCGGTATAGAAATTAATTAATTAATTAATTAATTAATTAAATAAATAGTGGGACCACTTTCAAAGTTCTGCTCACTGCACTTCAAAATGGTACCTCCCCTACAGTGTTTTACTCTAGCTCAGACTTCCCCAACCTTTCTGCGGTCCGGTGGGAGCTGGTGGGTGGGTGGGTGGAGAAGAGGATTGTTCCACATGAGTGGCTGGCAAGTGCACGCAGCTCCATTTGTACAAGCAGCGGGCACGCTTGCCTGTTGCACATGCAAACGGAGTGCACAGAAACTCACCTGCTGCTCACACAAATGGAGCACACATGCAGGCACTCATCCACTGCTCCCACAAGTGAGGATGGGCACACTTGCCCATCGCTTCCACGGCCCGGTTCTGAACAGCTCACGGCTCAGTAGTGGGCCCCACCCTGGGGGATGGGGCCCCTGCTCTAGATAGTTTTTTAAAAAGGCAAATAAGGAGGAAGGGAACATGTAGTATGGAGAAGATGAGTAAGAGGGTAACTGTTATTATCCTAATACCACTTTACCCCACAAAGATGAATGGTGGATGATTCAGGCCATTGGAAAAATAGCTTTACAACTAAGCTAATGAAAGTGTGGGATTTGTTACCTCCCGCTGTAGAGGGGGCTAAGGTAGAGAGCTTTAGGAGATGTAATTCAGCTGTTGGTGGCTATGAGCTCCGATGACTGTTTATCAAAGAGACAGCAAGACACCTCTGGATACCTGTTGCTAAACATAGAAGAGTTATTGTTGCCCTTTGGGCTTCACAAAGACCTGCTGGCCATGGTGAGAAATAGACCTTGGTTTGACCCCAGCAGGGCTCTGCTTATGATTCCCTTCTCCTTCCCATCCCCATCTCTGCACTTCCAGGGATGAATTGTGCATGGGAATTTGACTCTGGCTCAGGTGACTACCAGAGCTGCAGAAGCAGTTAATTCTGCTGCAGTTGTGCTCAGAACTGGTTGTCACAAGTGGTGAAGGCATCAGGATAGAAACCAAACGAGGAATTCTAGTCCTGCCTTAAGAGCAGGGGTGAAATGCTCCCGGTTCGGACCGGATAGGCCGATCTGGTAGCGATGGCGGCGGGTGGTTCGGAGAACCAGTAGCAAAAATCCCTGCGCCCCCCATTCCCACCATGCCCAGCTGAGCCGCAGGATCATCAGAGGCTTTTTTTTTTTTCTTTTAAAAGCATTTTTTCTACAACCTCTTCCGACGAAAAAATGCTTTTAAAAGTTTTTTTTAAAAAAAGCCTCTGATGATCACGCGGCTCAGCTGGGATAGTCAGAGGCTTTTCAAAGCATTTTTTTCTGCAACCTCTTGACCGAAGAGGTGGTAAAAAAATGCTTTGAAAAGTCTCTGACGATCCCAGCTGAGTTTCCTGATCCGCAGAGGCTTTTCAAAGCATTAGAAAAAATGCTTTGAAAAGTTAAAAAAAAAAAAAAGTTGGCCACGCCCACCCAGTCACATTACCATCACCACCACCCCTGCCACCAAGCCACGCCTACAGAACCGGTAGTAACAAATTTTACATTTCACCCCTGCTTAAGAGGCCAAGTCAGCTGGATGACCTTGGGCAGGTCACTTGCTCTTAGCTTTAAGAAGGCAAGGATAAACATTCCCAAAAATATTGCTAATAAAACTGCATGCAAGGAGTTGCCAGAAGTCAAAACTAACTCCAGGATGCGCTCACATATACCTCCCCTTTTGAAGGTCTCTGAGGACTTCACCCAAAGCTTTAGAGATGATGTATCTATCTGGGGGCTCTGGGGACCCATCTTGGCCTTAGAGAACTGAGTAACCGACTGACATCTGTCTTTGTAGAGGCTGAATCCAAGGGCCAGTTAAATGCCTCAAAGGAATGGAATACAAGCACAGTCACTCAGATACAAAAAGTGCATAGCTCCAAATTACAACATCAGTTCCCACTTTCTTTCTTAACAAGAAATCTTTGCAAACCTCTCTATTTGAAACTTCATAATGAGCAGTCAAAAGCAACATGGAGTAATAATCTTCACAGACTCAAAACCAGGTGGTTAAGAAGAAGGAAGAGCCCACCTGATGGGATGTGAAATGTCTCACAAGCAATTTCTAGGACATCAGTTTGAAGGACTGAAGACCAAGATTGTTAGAACTAAAAGGAAGAAATATAAAATGGGTTTATTTAAGCAAAGTAAAAATAGATATGTTGTCATCTCTGGTAACCCCTTAATAGACTTTTGCTGATATCAGCACTGAAATGATGAAGATTGTATTTGTTTATAAATAAAGAGATGGGATATAGATCCAGGAAACTACAGACCCATCAGCCTGACCTCAATACCAGGGAAGATTCTGGAAAAGATAATCAAACAACAAATCAGCGAACACCTAAAAGCAAACAAAGTAATAACCAAAAGCCAACATCAGTTTGTCAAAAACAGATCATGCCAGACTAATACTGCATCTTATTGCATTTTTGACAAAGTGACAGAACTAATGGACCAGAGGAATGCTGTAGATATAATTTACTTGGACTTCAGTAAGGCATTTGACAAAGTAGACCATAACTTACTACTTGATAAAATAGAAAAATGTGGGTTAGACAGCATCACCACCAGATGAATTCGTAATTGGCTGACCAACTGCACTCAATGTGTGGAGTTGAATGTTCAATGGAACTGCATCTACATGGAGGGAGGTATGCAGTGGAGTACCCCAGGGCTCTGTTTTAGGCCCAGTACTCTTCAACATCGTCATCAATGATTTGGACGTGGGGATAGATGGGGAACTCATCAAATTTGCAGACGACACCAAGCTAGCAGGAATAGCCAACACTTTAGAAGATAGGCTTCAGATACAGAAGAATCTTGGCAGACTTGAACGTTGGGTGCTATCTAACAAAATGAAATTCAATGGTGAAAAAAGGAAGGTTCTATATTTAGGCAAGAAAAACCAAATGCACAGGTACAGTATATGTGGTACCTTGCTCAATAGTGGTGACTGTGAGAGGGATCTTGGAGTCCTAGTGGACAATAATTTTAATATGAGCCAGCAGTGTGCTGCAGCTGCCAAAAAAGCCAACACAGTTCTAGGCTGCATAAACAGAGGGATAGAATCAAGATCACGTGAAGTGTTAATACTTTATAATGCCTTGGTAAAGCCACACTTGGAATACTACATCCAATTTTGGTCACCACGATGTAAAACAGATGTTGAGACTCCAGAAAGAGTGCACAGAAGAGCAACAAAGATGATTAAGGGACTGGAGGCTAAAGCATCTAAAGAACGGTTACTGGAATTGGGTATGTCTAGTTTAATGAAAAGAAGGACTAGGGGAGACATGATAGCAGTGTCCCAATATCTCAGGGGTTGCCACAAAGAAGAGGGAGTCAAACTATTCTCCAAAGCACCTGAGGGCAGGACAAGAAGCAATGGGTGAAACTAATCAAGGAGAGAAGCAATTTAGAACTAAGGAGAAATTTCCTGACAGTTAAAACAATTAATCAGTGTAACAACTTGCCTCCAGAAGTTGTAAATGCTCCAACACTGGAAGTTTTTAAGAGATTAGATAACCATTTGTCTGAAGTGGTGCAGGGTTTCCTGCCTAAGCAGGGGGTTGGACTAGAAGACCTCCAAGGTCCCTTCCCATTCTGTTATTCTATTCTATTGTATATGGGAGGAAGAAATCATTTATTGTATTTTAAAAGGTAATAATTTACTAAAATTGTTAATTTTATATTTTCATGAAGGGAAAAGTCACTTCTTTATATATTACTTTCTTTACTATATTCTTATTTTTCTTCTCCCCCCCCTTCTGCACCTTCTATTGTTTCTTTTTATTTTTTTCATATTTTGAGCTTGTATTAGTTTTTATTGCAAATTGTAATTTTTAATAAAATTACTATATACACTGTAAAAACAAAAACTCGTAAAATCTCTGATCTCCGTGTATTTCGCTGTGCCCTCAAAACCATGTTGTTCCGCCAGGCTGGGCTATCAATGTAAAGATTTTAATTGGTTTTAAATGGGATTTTAAATTTGGGGTTTTATAAATTGGGCCTATTATTTAATAATTTTAATTATTTTTAAATTTTGTCTCTTTGTGTTTTTAATTAGGCTATACACCGCCCTGAGTCCTTCGGGAGAAGGGCGGTATAGAAATAAAATAAATAAATAAATAAAAATAAATAAAAACAAAACCATCTGTATTTTAGAATGTTTCACCAAGATACTTTCAGTGAAGATTTAAGAGAGGGGAGGAAAATAGAAGCCTATAAAATGAAAAGGCATCAAGCTAAATCTTCAGACTTTGAAAAGCTTTGCATCACCTCTGAAAGATTCAAGGATTTATTTTTCTCTGGTGGAAAGGAATAAATGGGGTCATCCACCATGTTTCGCCCGCTTGTACACAAAGGGAGCTCAGAGAGGATTTAATCTATCAGTGGAATATAGCAGAAATGCAGAGGTGAGAGGGCTTCATAATTGTTTCTGCTGCTTTCTTCCTGTGCAACTCTCCCTGAGCAAGTGTTAAAAACAATCCACAATCACCAAACTGATTATGTCCTATCAAGATAAATCGATACATTTCAACTTTATCCAAAGTGGCAGTGACTAATTCATATGGCAGCATCTGGTTCTTTCTCCAGAAGTCCTTTTGGTTTGGACAAATTCAAAGATTTAATTTATCAACTATAGTCATGTGACTTTTCAGTTTCCAGAATATGACAATTACAGCTAGACACACGCACACACAAAGAGAGACAAGCACTGCATCATCTTCAAACTCTTGATAGCATAAATACAGATGCATCGGAAGATAGGACATCATAAGTAGTTGTCTCCAAAATAGAATATTGCAATTTGCTTTATGTAGGGCTGCTTGTGAAGATAATTTGGAAATCTCTGCCACGTTGGGACCAGAACAACTGGCTATCAGTTCGTTACTAAGCTTAATGCTAGTTCACCGAATCGTGTGAGGTAGAACCTTCTCCAGTTACAGAATTCCTCCTACCTGGTTTCTGTTAGCCTCTCCAGCAACCTGTTCATAACCCCGGATGTAGTTTCTGTCATTCACAACAAATTTCCTTTAGTAACAGTACACTTCCCTCAAGTATCACATAAAACAGTGTTTTTCAAACTTGGCAGCTTTAAGATGGGTGGACTTCAACTCCCAGAATCTTGCAGCCAGCCATGCTTGAAAAACGCTGACAGAGAATCTTCCAACTTTCCATTGTGTATGCCACATGGTGAAGCTTTGCCCTGAAAAGCGGCTTATAAACATTTTCAATGAATAATTATTTCTGACATAATCTTTGTCAGATGCATATATCCGGTATGTCTAAAGGGAAACATCTGTAAAGTAGACGGACGTCTACTAGTGAATATATGTATGTCTATGTGGAAGATTGCTATCGTCTACAGTGCTTTTCAGATATGGTAGAATGACAGCTCTGAATATTTCTACCTGAAGGATACCAAAGGAAAGGAAGACTCATCTAGAGAATATTACGGTAAGCTCAAACCAGTAGTGGGTTTCAATTTAGTCTGCTACCAGTTCGCGCATGAGCAGAAGCGTCCGGGAGGGTGGGCGGAGCCTCCCGCCACTGCAGCTACCAATTCACTCGATCCGGGGCGAACCGGTAGTAACCCACCGCTGGCTCAAACCAAAAGAATGGGTTTTCTAAGCACCCATTGACCCATCATGACAGAAAACCCTTGTTTCTACCATCACTGGTTCTCCGAGAACCTCGGAGCTCTTCTGAAGGATGACCTTGAAAGAACAGAATTGTCAACTGGGTGATCTTATTATTACTTACTACTGAAGCATTTCCGGTTACCTGTTCAGACTATTCTTTTCTTTTCCTACTTCTACCCCAGGAGGCTATCTTCATGCAGATGAAGTAGCTATGTGGGGATGCCTATCGTTTGGACTCCCTGGCAAGGCATTTGAAAAAAAATGCCTGTCAGTGCCATCCTAGGTATGTCTCCCCAAAAGAAAGGCCTAGGTTCTGGGTGAGATTTACTCCTTATGGCTTCAGCCTAAATCTACTAAGTGTTTGAGGAAGCCCAGGCAAAAGTGGTTAATGAAGGATGGGCCTCCTTTGGAAAAAGCTGCCTTTTTCCTTTGAGGAAGTTCTCATGGTAACCCAATTCTCTTCTTATTCATCTGAATTCTAAATATTGCAAAATCATTGGACTGGATCCAATATTACGACTTTTTTTAATGATAGTCATTAAGCGAACATGGCAATCATTAAGTAAACCCATTATTCACTATCGGAGGCTTTTTGCTGGAAACTTGGAAGTAAATGTGGGTTTTTGACAAAAACGTCATAAATTGTGGTTACATGACTGTGAGGCACTACAAACAGCCATAAATGCGGACCGGTTGCTGATATCCAAAATGCGGACATGTGACCAGGGGATAGCAGAATTTGGAAACCGAGTCTTAGGTACCTTTTGAGGGAATCTGTTGTAATTGTAACCAGTTCCTAAATGACTGGTTGTAAGCTAAGGATTACCTGTAAGGCAAAGATCTCTAAAAAGTGATGCTATCCCAGCCTTTCCAAACCTGCCTTTCTAACACATTTTCTTGGCCTTCTCTAAGATGGAGCGCTTATTTTAGCCATCCTAGACTTATCCAGCATTGCAATGAGCAAAACTGGTCTTCTGGAGTGCTGACTCGTTTAGTGTTGACTAAACTTAATGCCATTCCCAACACCGTAACTACTCATCTGCTTGTTACAGCTCTTGGCATTATGTAATTAAATAATTTGTCCTAATTCTAGTGGTCTTAGTGTAGCCAACAGGCCAATGTCAAGAGAAGGTTTAAGCCTTCATATTTTACCTCAGATAGGTAGGAGGTTTTGCCATTGGCTAAGTGGAGGCTTTGTGAGGAGTCAGTATCAGACTGTAGATGAAAATGGTTATTTCTACAAGATGTTGATGGTTGCCTCTCTCTGCTCACTGCGATACTGCTCACCTCTACTTTGCACTTTGGTCAGAGGGTTAGCACCAAGCTGTAGTTTCTGGTGATTTTAATAAGGGTCCTGTATCTGCCTCTCATTCTTCATTGGTTTCAGTGTTTGGCACTCACCAGATTAGCTATGCAGTGGATTGCTACAACCCATCTCAGCTTTCTTGGCACCTAGTCTGAAATTCACCCCTACCCCTTACTCTTTTGTGGCCTCCGTCAGGCAGTGCTCAGCCCCATCACTACCCCGTGGCCGCCCCTTGCAGCCTTTTCGTGGTGGCTCCACCCAGGAGTTGTGGATGATGGTGCCACCAGGTGCGGGATCGACTTGCAGCGCTGACACCACTCGTTTCTTCAGCTTGCTGCGGAGTACGTTGCGCAGTTTCTGGCGGGTAAAGGCATAAAGGAGTGGGTGGAAGATGGTTGTACCATAGGCCATGGCCAGGAAGCAGATGCGCAGCTTGCCCAGCAAAGGGCTAGGCCCGAGGCACAGAATGAGCAGGTTGACAATGGACAGAGGTGCCCAGCACAACAGGAACGTTGAGATGATTAACAGGGACATGCGGAAAACACGCCTCTGGCGCTCCCTCCGGTCACGGTGGCGTTTCACCGCCCGACGCAGTGCGATGATCACAGAGACAGAAGCCTGCACACCCATTGGAGGTGGAGCTTGAAGCGTGGGCTTTGGCTGGGAAAGCCTCTTGGCTTCTCCAGCACTGATCATGCTGCTGCTGCTACTCAGTTCTACTGCTTTCCGCCGCTTCCTCTTTTTCGTCTTGCGACGCTGGCTACGCTTGAAAGTGCTGCCGATGCTGATATTGAGAGCTTGCAGGATCTTGGCGTAGGTCACCAGCATGACTGCCACGGCTGCAAAGAAAGTGGGGATCTGGATGGCAAGGTGATAGGCGGTGCCGAGCTCAGCATGGAACTCTTCTGGGCCAACACACAGCACCGTACGGTTTTGCCACACGCTGGCGTGTCCAAACTCGCCCTCGAGGAAGGGTATAAAAAATACAGTCAGGGATAGCACCCAGACTCCAGCCAGAAGAAGAATTGCACGGGCTGGAGTGAGCACACGTTGTGCAGGGCGAACTGAAATGTCGTAACGGTCCAAGCTGATCACCAGGACGTTGGTGGCTGTTGCCACGCTGCTGAAGGTGATGCAGGCCTCGTGGAAGCAGCAGAAGAGGGTGGCAGCACGATCGGGTGGCACCAATATGACCACCATGGTGAGAGGTGCACACACCACACAGATGAGCACATCTAGTACATGCAAGTTCATGGTCACCATGTTGCTGACTGAGTCAACCAAGCCAGCTTGCAGGCAGTAGAGAACCAATACTGTCAGATTGCTGCTGACCCCTAGAACAATTTCCAACATTAGGAAGCCTGTCAGGGACACCTGGAAGCCCAGTGGGTAGGGCAGGGACCAACTGGGGTCGGGGGTTACCCCGTCTGTTGTCTCCAGGATGGTGTCAAACATGGGACTCTCCATGGTTGAAAGAGGCAGAAGCACTTGGGCATAGTCCCTGGACTGAGCTGAGCGTTACAGACAGCAACCTTACCTGTGGGGAGAGAGAGAGAGAGAAAGAGACCATCAAGAACCATAGCAACATTTATTTTTTCAACAATGGACTTTGCACTAAACCAGTGGTGGGTTGCCCCCAGTTTGGACCGGTTCGCAAGAACTGGTAATAAAACCGGTGGGAGGCCCTGCCCACCGCCCCGGATGTCGTCATCGGCAATCTGCGCATGTACAGAAGCAAGGTGTGTGTGTGAGCAAAGCAAGTGCGCGCGATCCCGTTGCGAACTGGTAGTAAAGGTAAGTAGAACCTACCCCTGCACTAAACCAACAAGCCTGCCCTGAAAATATCATCTTAAAACATCACAAGGAGGCCAAGTTCAGGCAAGATTTTATTCCTGGTTGTGGTATCGATTCATTTTCTGGGTTCCTAGGATACACAAAGCCACAAGATGGATTGGGTTGGCACAGTGTACTCAATAATGGAAGAAGAAAGATACACCCAATATTAAAACTAATGAAGCTTAGCGTGTTGTACACATGTGGTTGCTAAGGCCTAACAGCCTGCTTCAGTTTCTTGTGTGAATCAACCCAATTAATCCTGCAGAAAGGTGAAATTTAAAAAAAAAAAAGTGAAACATTTCAGCACCATCATTTGAAAAGAAGATGCAAACTGTGCATGTATTTTTCAGGCCTTTTCTGCAGAAGAAGAGGACAGGATCAAGCATTTTGAAGTTTCTCTATAATTCAGGATAACTTGAGCTCTCTTTTCAAGGAAGAGGTTATCATCACCCGTTTTCTTTAGCAAGACTTCACCTACTTTTACTTAACAAACACATAAATATATATAGGCAAAATGCTTACAATTGGAAAACACATTGGTTATGTATACTCACAAAGATTTGAAACTGTCTATTATCCATTCCTTTTTGCAGAGTCAGCCAGCAAAATCTGAAACCCATACTAAACTGGGCATCCTTTCACAGAATCAACCACAAACGATGTAAACTCACTCACCCAGACTTTTCTGTATATTGGATCTGGATCCATTTGAACCTGCGTTGGCTGTAGAGTTTCTAAGTGAACTTTTAATTGGAATCCACACCTTACAGAGTTCTTCTCAGGAAATAATTCCCTGGCCAAATTAAAAATCCCCCCAAGTGTCTCTTCAAAGGGGTTCAGGATCATAAGGGGAAAGGGAAGTGGCAGAAAAGTCTCTAAAAGTGGTAAGAGTGAGAGGTCCTTGGTGCCCTCGGAGCTTGGCTGCTTTCTTGCAGAGGTTTCGTTAGCCAAACTAGGTAACATCATCAGTGCTGGTAGGAAGTGGGATTTGCTCTCAGTTTATACTGCAGTGGCTTGCCTTGTCTGTGTTGGTTGGAGTAGTCTTGGGTAGGGTATTTTTTTAGTTGGGTTGTTTACTGTTAGTTTATTTGGCAGTTCCTTGGTAACAGGTAGGAGTGTTGCCAGGCCTGGAAGCCATCTTTTGCATTGGGCCTTCAGGCCTGCCACATTTACTACTGTGGGAAACTGGGAGTGGGGAGTGTATGGCGCATGGGTGATATGTAGTCATAATAACATTCTTTTCTCAGAGAGTCAAGGATGCCTTGCCCTGCACTTGGAGGGCTGGAACTGGGAGGCATCTCCAGTTGGGACGGTGCATTGGTTGGACCATGTGATGGACATGTGGGTGCAGGGGAAGGGATTTGGACTTTCCTTTGGGTGGGGAAAACCTGGAAGCTTTCAGATTTGGGTTTTCCCAGATGTGCCAATATGACATCTCTAATAAAATGGAACTTTGAGGAACTTCAAGCTTCAGAGTCTTCTTTCGTTGGGGGTGTTACTTGGAACCCTGACAAGTGTATTGTAAGAGATCACCTGCCTCTCTTCTCATCCTTCTGTCCCAAATTACAGCATCAAATTGTTGTGGTCCAAACCTGGCTCACAAGATGCAATGTACATTTATTAAAAATGTACAGGTACTCCTCAATTTACAACCACAGTTGAGCCCAAAACTTTTGTTGCTAAGAAAGACAATTGTTAAGTGAGTTTTGCCCCATTTAATGACCTTTCTTGCCCCAGTTGTGAAGTGAACCACTGCGGTTGGTAACATGGCTGTTAAGTGAATGTAGATTCCCCATTGACTTTGCTTGCCAGAAGATCACAAAAGGTGAACTTGGGATGGGGCACTGCAACCATCATAAATACGAGTCAGTTGCCCAGTGTCTGAATTTTGATCACATGACCATGCGGATGCTGCGACGGTCGCAAGTGTGAAAAACGGTCCCAAGTCACTTTTTTCAGTGCCCTTGTAACTTTGAATGGTCACTAAATGAACTGTTGTAAGTCGAGGACTACCTGTAGCATGATGACTGAAGAAGCGTAAGCCTAGTAAAAGAGATACACAGAGGCAGGCAGACAAAGCAAATCACTGATTAAAGACAAATAAAGCCTGTTGAACCCAGGTCTCCTACACAAAGCTGATATTCTGAGAATTAGCCACTTATTAGCCGTGGTGGCGCAGTGGTTAAAATGCAGTACTGCAAGCTACGTCTGCTGCCTGCAATTCTTGTAGTTCAATTCTGCCTGCAATTCTGGAGTTCAATTCTCACTGGCTCAAGATTGAGTCAGCCTTCCATCCTTCTGAGGTGGGTAAAATGAGGACCCTGATTGTTGGGGGTAATATGCTGACTCTGTAAACTGCTTAGAGAGGGCTGTAAAGCACTATGAAGTGGTATATAAGTCTAAGTGTTATTGCTATTAATTTCCCCTTGTACCCCTCCCTCAAATTTTAAAAGGATTTGGTAGATATAAAAAGAAACCCACCTAAACCTCAACTCTTTATCACAAAATACTCAGTGTGGCAAAGAGAGAGAGTGAGTTAATGAGAGAGAGAAGGAAAGAGATAGAGAGTGAGAGAGAGTGAGTGAGTGAGAGAGAATGAGAGAGAGAGAGAGGGAGAGAGGTTATTTATTCTTAAGTAATCCAAGTGGGTTGAAAACCTTGAGAACCTTACTGAATTTAATTAATATTAACATTACTAATTTATTATTACCGAATCTTATTAAAGGTCAGCATGTCAGCTATACAAGTTTTATTTATTTATTGCAGCCCTGTGGCCAGATACAAACAAGTTATTGAATAAAAGAAGTATTACATCCTTCTCTATGTATATCTGTTTAGGGGAGAAAAAGAATACGCATCAAGGAGTCTAACAATAATTAAGAACGTAATTGCTAAAATAAATCAAAATTAAATACTGTTGTAAGATGTTCCAATCCTAAGTAAGGGTACGGTGTATCATACAAATGGTGGCACAGAACTTGGCGACTTGAGAGGTTATTTTCAAGTTCTTGTCTCAGAGAAGGAGCATTACATAGAAATCACACTCCTTACATTTCTTCAAGACATGACATATAAGGGTATGGCAACTATACAGGTAGTCCTCGACTTACAACCATTCATTCAGTAGCCGAGGTTACAATTTAATTAATTCAATTTATATGCCGCCTCTCTCCGAAGACTCAGGGTGCCTAATGGTACTGGAAAAAGCGTTCCTCGCAGTTACGACTGTCAGAGCATCCCTACAGTCGTGTGACCAAAATTCAGGCCCTCAACAACCAGCATCGACTTACAATAGTAGCAGCATCCCGGGTGTCGGGTGATAGCCATTTGAGGCCTTCCCAGCCAGCTTCTGGCAAGCAAAGTCAGTGTGGGGGAAGCCTGATTCGGTTAGCAACCGCACGGTTTAATTTAATTTAATTTAATTTAATTTCGAATTTATATACCGCCCTTCTCCCTGAGGACTCAGGGCGGTGTACAGCCAAGATAAAAAACATAGAATACAACAACTGCAGTGATTCACTTAACAACCATGGCAAAAAAAAAAAGGGATGTAAAATGAGGTGTGCCTCATTTAACAACCGCCTTGCTTAAGGATGGAAATTCTGGTCTGAACTATAGTCACCTGTACTGTATTTGAGATATGGCTAGTGAATATAAACCATTTAGTGCAGGGGTCTCCAACCTTGGCAACTTTAAGCCTGGTGGACCTCAACTCCCAGAATTCCCCAGTCAGCAAAGCTGTTAATGCAAAGCTGGCTGGGGAATTCTGGGAGTTGAAGTCCGCCAGGCTTAAAGTTGCCAAGGTTGAAGACTCCTGATTTTGTGTACTCGGCCATTGGGCCCTGGCTGATTTCTCCACCTATAGCTACTCTAGATCAATTCAGCTTTTCTTACAAGTGCAGTTTCAACAATTTACATTCCTGGGGACACCTCATAGGTTTGGTAATGAATGCACCTCACATGTGCAGAGGGAAAACCTTTTAGAACCACAATAAGATCCTCTTAAATGGAGGTGAGGAATAGATGATCAGACAGACACCTCTAAGACTCCTTCCCCTTCTTCCCCTTGGTTTTCAAATTCACCGCTTGTACATATTCAGCAATTATGTCTTCAGTGACCATGAAAGCCCAGATTTTTACGAATTGAAATTCCACACACACACACACACACACACACACACAGATGTGCGCACACACCTCAATAAACTCTGAAATGACACTTGAAGGAAGAAGTGAGAGACAGAAAAACACGTAGCCTGCAGGAAAGTAAGAGAATGTGTGGATTTAGAAAGCGTTTGGCTACAAGTAGGGAAAATTAAATCTGCCCATTGTGTGGAATGTGTGTCTCTGTGTCTGTGTGTGTGTGAGAGAGAGAGAGAGAAAGGGAGGAAATTATTTCATAAGAGACTAGCAATGATAATTCAATGTGAGCAGAAAACCCATCCTGGCCCCATAAATCAGGAAGTACAGAGAAGACTCAATTAACCAGCAGTTTCACAGCCAAGTGGATTTATTTTAACCCCCATTCCTTGTTCTTTCTACAGCACAGGCACGCAAGACTTCATGAATTTTTAAAGTATTTTTTTTTAATCACCAAGGTATGCAAAAGAGAGAGAGAGAAGGTGATAATATGAATGAAAGAGATTATGTTTTGCATTTCACCCCGTTTTATGATTTCTTGAGGAAAGGTGTTTTTTTTTT